CTATCAGTTTGATACCATCTTAAGTAGCCACCTACGCTTGCAGTCTTCAGAATGCTATAGGCAAAGAGAACAAACAATATAATGGATTACATAGTGTACAATTTAAAAGATTTTATATTGTTACCTACTGGTAAATAATTGCAGTTACCAAGCAGCTTCCCCCCGCTGGGACCTGTTGTCCACATGAGACCTTAGCAAATAGTATCTGGAGCTTAATGGGTCTCCCTGCTGTATGTTTGTTGCAGGTCTCTTATTTGCCTGTTTTGAAATTAATTGCTTTTTATAAGCCTGGGAAATTAGTGATCTGCCTTCTTAGTCCCCTAAATACTCACCCAAACAACGAACAATTTGTAAGAGATAGATTTATCATTTTGTGCGGCAATTCAGAGCAGGCCAGCCTTTGCTTTATTAGCCTGTATTAGGTATTTTATTTAGATCCTTTTAAGCCCCAATTCCAGAGGCATTAGGTGCCTGGATGTTTTAGTTTGGGGCCAGTGAAACCAAAGGGCCCATGTTTAGACTGGGGACAAAGTAAACAAACAAGATTTGACAAACGAGATATGAGAAAAACTCTGGTGATGGGAACACAGATAAAAAGAGAAAACAAATGAGGATTCTTTGTGTAAGTTGTCCAAACTGATAGGGAGTAAGAGTTAATGTAATCTTGAAGTATTAAAGAAATGAATGGTTCTAGCTTTTATGGGATGCTTTTGATATGACTTAAGATCTAAATTTTTTCAGTTTTGTCTTTGTATTAATTTATGCTATTTATTCGGCCCACATCTATAACTAATACATAATTTACTACTCATGGTATGTATGAATGTATGATATTCTGAAGAGCTCAATTAACAGTGGTGATGAGAGGTGCCAGTACATGCTGAGGCATCACTCACCACGTCAAATTCTTGTTTTCAAATGAAGGCAATACATCTTGGGGGACCTGTTTTTAGTTCCTTTTAATTTAAGATCTAAGAAAAGCTCTTTGGAATGATAGGATGTTTGATTATTATATAGTAGCTATAAAACTACACTGGGTTCCATTTAATAGGCAGTAAGTATCCATTACTGTGGCCCATTTACAACTGATTTTAATCTGGACATTAAAAATCGTTTGTGTAACGTCACCCTTATTAAAACTAGTTATTTTTATTTTTTAAAATACTTTTATTGGAGATTCTTATAAAATTAGTTTTAAAATACCGTGTTATCCATGTAAATGCTCATAAATTTTTAAAGGTCTTTATCATCCTCGTTGTTAATTGTATTTTTTTAGCAAAAGGTATCCTCTTTGTTCAGTGCCTTTTGATTTTAATTTTATACCTTGAAATGATAAATTATAGAGGAATGCATGCTTATTTAAAATGTTTAAAATAGTAAAGAAGTTTAATAAAATGCTGTCCTTCCTTAAACCCATTCATGATACGAGAAGGCTTCAAAAAGTTGGTGAAAAATAGGATGAAAAGATAATTTCCTCACAACCGTTTTGAAACCCCCTTGTGTAACCTTGTAACCTGTTCTCTAATAGTTTAATAGGTAGCCTTTTATAATATAATTTTGTATATAATATATATTTATGTGTTTTTACATTTTGCACTTGGCTTCCCCCTCCCTTATTTAGTAGCAGAAATCCTTCCATATCAAAAGATAGATATACTCACTTTAAAAAATGCTATTTAATATTCTCTAATAAGATTTAAAAAATAAATAAAAACCTCCCTGGATAGACATCTAAATTGATTGTTAGATATGAACTAGGCCACAAGGTACTTGCACTGGGCATTGTACTCTGTTATGCCATATTCAGAAGTCTTTGCCAGTTTATATTTTCATTCCAGGGAAAGTCTTTATTTCGCCACACCCTCCAATGCTGCAGATGTGGGGTGTGTGTGTGTGTGTATCAGCCTTTCTTTTTTTTAACTAGTCTTATAGGCAAGAAAGTGTTCTGATGATCCTAATTAATTTTTAAATGACTGTACAGCCTCTGTTGCCTTTTTCCCTTTTCTTTTGGGGAAGAGCTTATCAAAGTTACTATAGTAAGCGTCTTTGAAAATAATATTTCTAGTTAATGACACAACACAGTGCTACTTTCATGGCCTTCTACTGCCGTCTAGTGGTGAATTTGGACACCTTATTTTAGCCAACTTCGGAATCCGTTGTGAAGGTTTGTCTTCAAACATTAGTCTGTTATTGAGTGGTGCTCTTTAGTCCCTCTAAGCTCTACTTGGCATCGCTTCTTTTATTTGTCTTGTAGACCATTCCTTATGTTGGTATCAAATGAATTCATTATTTGTTTTCATTAACATGCTCTTTATTCAGATATTCCTAGATGATATAGAAATATCCCTAACATTCCAGTCATGTACAGAAGAGAAGCCAACTTTATTGCAAATTCATTGCTAAGGACAACATTATAGAAATAACAGTAATTGAAATGTTTTTCTTGATTTTAGTCTGTACTTAAATCTAGGATTGTAAACATTGTATGTTATAAACATTTATAATATAGAATCTTTTGTTTTTGTATTGATTACATTAGAAAATTAATTTGGGAAGAGGTGTAGTTCATATCTCTCAGATATAATTTGAGATGTTTCAGTGTTTTAATTCAAACAAGAGTATTTTCTTTGTTGACCACGATCACATTCATTATAATCTGATCAAACAGGGCTTTAGGCTCTTTATTCCATAGTTTCTACTTTTGATAGAACACATAATGAATATTTAAGTTTTTCTTTAATAATCCTGAGATTCTGCTGTCTCATTTTCCCCTTTTGATGTTGAAGTGGTGCCACGACAAGTTTTCGAAAACATCTTGAACTTACTAGCCTAGTTATTTCCTGCAGTGCATTCTGTTTTTAAAATATAAACTTCACATTTCAACTAACTGCATAATGCACAACTTACATGTGATTTATAAAAGGCTGTTTCTATTGCCTTCGTATTTTTGATCTTTCATTTTTAATAGCCTGATTCCCTCTCAATTCCAATTGAGAACTCCTAACTCATCAACTCTGCCTTTTTGGGTTCCATCACCCCCTCCTACTTACTTGCTTTCTCTAAGAAGTAAACCAACTTGTTTCTGGTTATGGCCAGGAACCTGTACTAAGAAATAAAGTAGGTAGTCCTTTGACCTCATCATCTACTGCTTAAAGTAGTACAGTACATCCATATTTACTTGATAATTACTTAAGATTAAAAATACTACCAACTTTTCTTTGTTTTTGAGAGGTGTCTTGGTGTAGAATCTCCATAGAAATGGATTTCAAGGAATTTCACGTATGTGATTGTGTGACTGGCAAATTCTGAGTTTGTAGGGTGGTCTAGTGGGCTGGGAACTCTTAAGTCAGAAGCTGAAGACGCTGTAGTCTTCAGGCAGAATTGCTGTTTACTTCTAAGGCCTTTCACCGCCAGTCAAATGCCAGTTTGCCATTCTGTGGTAGCTTACATGTTGAGATGCTAGAAGCTAGTTATGCCACCAGTATTTCAAATTCCAGTAAAGCACACAAGTTTCAGTGGAGGTTCCAGATGAGGAAAAAGGACCCTGTGGTCTACTTCTGGGGGGAAGAACCAAACCAAAAACCCACCTTATGACTAGCAGTGGAGTGTGTCTGATGCAGAGCAGCCCTGGGGTTGCATGGTGCTCAAATCCAACTGGGAGGAGCTGCCTTCAGGGCCTTCACTAGCTAATATGAAACCACTGAAAATAAGAAGAACCTGCCGCCAACCTTCACTAGTAATTAGAGTGTGGAATGTACGAATGTAGGAAATAAAGAAAATTGGAAATTATCAAAAATGAAATGGAATACTTTCACTTCAGATACATTTGAAATCGGGGGTAAAGAAAACTGGGACAATGATGCACTTGCCTTCGAATGCTGGCAGATATTGTTGGATAACCTTGAGCTGCCAGAAGAGTACATTCGCCTCACTCACTTTGGTTCTGCTCCAGTGCTCTCTGCATTATAGCAACCAGAACACTGGAACAACCCGACCTCGTAATCTGTGTGGCTAAAGGGACCCAAAGCAGCATTGTGACCTGAACCACTTTAATCCTATCTCTCTTAAAACATCTTTTCCTTTGCTAGTCTTGGCTTCCTGTGAATTAAGAGATAATACAAAAACCCCAGCCGTAAACTCTTGGACTAAAAAGTTTTCTGTTTAGGTTTTTTTGCTTGGGAGTTTCTTAGTATATCTGCAATGTGCTGATAACAATCTTTGGGCTAAATCTAACTATACCTGGGGTGTAGCTATTAGCAAGTATTTACTGAGACCATCATCTGAACTCGTTTATATGCTTACCTGACACGGTTTGTCTGTCTCAGTCCCTGCTCCTCCAACTTCAGGAGAACTCCAGCGGCTCTCAACCTGTGGGTCGCATGCGACCCCTTTGGGGGTTGAACGACCCTTTCACAGAGGTTGCTCGTTTCATAACAGTAGCAAAATTACAGTTATGAAGTAGCAATGAAAGCAATATATGGTTGGGGGCCACCACACCATGAGGAACTGTATGAAAGGGTCGCGGCATGAGGAAGGTTGAGAAGCACTGTTTTACTCACCTGGAGTCGGAGTCCTTAGAGTTAGACTAAGCATCAACAGTTAGTTTTGAAGGAAACAATAATGCTTTCACTTTGAGGTTTTGGTATTCCCTTCTGACACATTCTCCTCTTTCTTGCAGCGTTGGAGAGGGGGCTTTTGAAAACACTGCAGAAACTGGACGAGTATCTGAATTCTCCCCTCCCTGATGAGATTGATGAGAATAGTATGGAAGACATTAAGTTTTCTACACGTAAATTTCTGGATGGCAACGAAATGACATTAGCTGATTGCAATTTGCTGCCCAAACTGCACATTGTCAAGGTAGGCTTGTTGGATGTGGTGTCAAATTGCCATTAAACTTAATATTCTTTTCACCAACACTGCACTTCATTTGCTTTTAAAACTTCTCTAGGCATCTGGTAATTGACTTGTTCTTAGGTGCTGATAAGTCTGTATTCTCACAGAGCAGTGCTGCCCCATAGGCTTTTCTTGGCTGTCGTCTTTACGGAAGCAGACTGCTAGGCCTTTCCCACAGAGCCCTGGGTGGGTTTGAACATCCAACTTCTGTTTGCAGTGACGTGCTTAAGCATTCGTCCTACCAGATTCATGATGCTTGCCTAGGGACTCCTAAGCTTGTAACTTAATGGTAGTTATACAATAATTGAAACACCTTAGGGTTAATTAGGGAGAAAATGAAGTCTTATGAATTAACGAATATGGAGAGGAATTCTTTTTTTCCATGGCTGCATAAAAATCCAAAGATGTTAACAGGAACCTGACTTAAAGTGCCCTATTTTGTTCTGGGCTCACCCATCCTTTTCTACTAAAGACAAAACATTATTATGTGAGACTGTCGTAGTCACATTGCTAAATAGAACTATAATGAATACTAATCATACAATACGGGTTATGGTAGGAAAGAGAGGTGGAAACTAATCTATGTGATTTGAAAAGTATTTATCTGGGGATTACGCTCGGCTGCTTGTCTGGATGCTCGAGGAAGGCTTTTTGCATCTCACACTTCTGAGTCCCTGGTGTGGCTTGCAGCCCCGTCGTTGTTTCAGCCTCTAGTTGAATGAAAGCGGCAAGCTCCTGTCCAGTTAAAAGCCATTCTCTCTCAGTGATTTCTAGAATTAATCATTTGCTCTAAAATCACAGAGCTGTCTGATTTATAAGAGATGGGAAATGAATCTGTTAACAGTTGATCTCTTTCTATTTCAGGTGGTGGCCAAAAAATATCGCAACTTTGATATTCCCAAAGCAATGACCGGCATCTGGAGATACTTAACTAATGCTTACAGTCGAGATGAGTTCACCAATACTTGCCCCAGTGATAAGGAGGTGGAAATCGCATATAGTGATGTAGCCAAAAGACTTACCAAGTAAAGCAGCACTTCTGGGAGAGATGTCTTCACATTTTCCCTTAACAGAATATGCTTTCCTAACAGACTGCTCCTCTCCCTAGCAGTAGAAACTCTTTTGCATGAACATGCAGTTATTGTTCAAAATTAGGATAGAAAGGATAGACAAGGTATAGTAGCTGTCTTAAAGTATACACTCCTAAGCAGTATTATTTTGAAATTCCCTGGACCCGCCTACCTTCCCTACCCATAGCCTCCTGTCCTCTAATTCGGAGACACTCCTTCACACACGCTGCAGTTCAGAGGGAGCTTGCCAGCTCCCCGGAGCCCTCACCATTATGTCCACTCACTGTGTATGGACGGCAGGATTTCTGAGGTGCAATGTCTAACTGTTGAAATAGCCATGACTTCATCAGTCAGCCCCCAAACTGGTGCATAATGCATGGTACCTGGAGTATTTATGTATTTTTGGAATTTTATAATATTTAGTAAGAGTCTATGTAGGGGTTGCTACTGTATCAGAAATAATCTGTTTCCATTGCATCTATCCTGGATATGTACTAAAGACTCACCACCAGAGAAGAAGTCCTTTGTAGAAAGTCACTACAGATTTTCCTAGTTTACTTTGTAGATGAATTTTATTTGACTTTTGCCTGAAAGCATCTATCCATTATACTATGTTTAACAGCTGACACGATGTATAAGCTAAATGTTCTCAAGGTCTTTTATTCAAGCATTTTTCCCTTCCAGGAGAAGCCGAAAGGCACTGGACATGCCGCGTCTAAATCTGTGCTGTGTTCTCTGTATTTGCCCAGTGCCGTCCACTTGGAACTTCAGTGCTTCTCCCCCATTGTTTTCATTGTGAGAGTTCCCTTCTTAGGTAAACGTAGACCTTTGCCACTTAGAGCTCTTTGAGCATTACTAGAGAAACATACTTAGTGATTGAACTACAGCAGTGCAGTGATCAGTATGTGAGCATAAACACGTGAAAGGAGTGGACCTAAGCAAGAGACAGAGGGTAGGCTTGTCAAAATGTCCAGTCAAATTTGGCTCCTAAAGCAACTATTGACGGTAGCTAGTCAATCTAACAATGCATTACCCATCCGGTAAAACAGAGAGATCACCAACTTTCCCATCCCACCTTGTCTCCTGGGCGACTGTAGATTCCACTGTAGCTGGGAAGAGTCATCATCGTCTTCTCTGATGATGCCTAATCTCCGTCAGCACACATCAGGGAGTCCCAATTGCTTACAGCCTTGTTGAGGAACAGCACGCTGTGCTTTTGTTTGAACTGGAAGTCTGACCCCAGGATGCTCTGTGTTCTAATAGGGGAGGTCAACATTGCTGAGAATAAGCAGAAGTTTCTTATATATTTACTCATTTTTACTTTTCAGTGGATTTTCTAAAGTACAATTCCAAAGACTGGTTGTATCTGTAATATGTATTTTGGTAAATTTTTATACCTAACTTGTCTAAGAAGTGCTATTTCTCATTGGGTGTCTTTGGAAATGTTCAGTGTATTGTTTCAAATGGCAAAGTCTTCTCCTTTTCTATGCTGACATATAGTAAGCACTGGCTTTGTAGAAACAGCCTGACTTTGAGATAAGCTTGTGGCATTCCCCCACCCCCCCACCCCTCCACCAAAAAAAGAGCTTGGTCTAGAACGACCAGAGAAGGCCCACACTGGATCTGAGCGGACCAGGCAGGTCCTTTGTCTGTTTCTTTGGAACTCTTGATTGCTGGTCAGAGTTCTGACACCCATCTCTCAGTAATTCAGTATTGGAGAGTGATTTATCTGGTTTCAGGAAGAAGTGTTGTCCAGTTTGTCAAGCAGACTCTAAGTTAGAGTTACATTTTAGTAGTTTCAGTGCACGTGAGAGTGTTCTACCTGTCCCAGCAGCATTCAGGTGGCTGGGAACCTTGTTCTCTTATAATATTAAAGATTCAAAAGAGGGCTCTTTGTTCTTTCTAGTGAATAGTGAACTATCCAATGTAGAGGGCAAAAGCGTGACATTCCTTAAAATGTAGTGACGAAAACACAGTTGTGAACGCATTTTCACCTCAGACCTCTCTCCGCAGCATTGTTTTTAAAGCATTTATCCAGTGAGTACACTTGGAGTACATCTGCAGCTTCAAGGGAGGCATTTGTCTGTATGATTTTGACCAAGGCGGAATTATTTTTAGAAAGACAGGTTTTATCACATTATCAGGGAAGAGAGTCAAATGAAATGGAGATTGGCAGATGGACAGAATCTGGGGAAAAGGATGATCCTGCAACTTCCTATTACTTCATTATGTATTTGTGGGAAGGTCATAGCTTACAATCGTGGGAGATTTGGGACATAAAAGTTCATAGCCATTCATGTAGGGGTTGGCATAATGGAACCTATCTGATAAGCTTCGACAACTACCAAGTCAGTTCTCCTGCAAGTATTTGAACCCCATTTATCTCCTGTGAGGACACGAATGGAGACCCTATTCTCTAAGGAATGCTCTCTACTGTTTCATTTGATGTAGTTCCCTTTCCCCTTTTGATGTCAGTGAGAAATTGTACACAGTGCTGTTATCTTCTCTTCCTAGTGCTGTTATCTTGCGATAGAATTGAAATAAGATCTCATTTCGTGGTAACTTTGGCTTTCATGATTTGTCCTTAAATCCTTGTATATAATGAAGACATTTCTGACATTTATTCTTGCACCACAGGGATAAGTTCTAGAACTTAGGTATATTTACTTCTGTTGAGTTTCAGTCTCTAGAGTTGCATGTAGATAGATGCTGTTATTTCTGTGCATTAAAAAAACAAAACCCATTTAGAAAATGCTACAAAGTAAAAATGAGAGGAAACAATGTTTTTTCAGGCACCTTTTTGATACACACTGCATTAGAGTTATTTAACCAGTTTCTTACACAGATTTTAATCAGTGTTTTATTTAAAGAAAGAGCGGGAAGCATTTCATTAATGCGATGTGGACTTTTTTCTATTCTACTCTTTTAAAAGATCAAGGTCTTTTAAATGATCAAGGTTGGAACCACCACAATTATATTTTTATCATGGGAAAAAATTTATAATTTCCAAGCCATAATGTTGAACCAGGATTATTCTCTTTGGAATTATTTAAAAGGCAAATGAAACCTTATTATAAAATGCACATGCTTTCCTTCCTCTCTGTGGAACATCATGCACCAGTATATTGGTGGCAGCTATTGTATTAAAAAAAATAAAGTATATTTTCACTATCATAAAGGGTTCTTTTTTTCTCCCTTCATGAAAATAAATAACAACTTGGAGTCAAAGTGTTTTACTTGAGACTAACCCTCCCACTCCCCATGCAACGGAAAGATTCAGCATATTCAGCATTTAATAGAGAAAAAAACAAGATCATCTCAGTAGTAGGTACAGATAAAGAATTTGATAAAAACTCACAATACTCTTTCTTAGCGAAATAGGAGCAGAGGTTTTAAAAAAAATTAACCTGGATACAGATGTCTACAAGAAACAAATGTCACACATGTAGATGAGACAGAAAGCCTTCTCGGAAGTTAGGAATAATCCTGGACTACCCAGTTGTCTTGCACAGCTACTTTTTTAGTACAACAGATGTCATTAAGAGTAGGAATAAGGAATGGCAGAGAAATAATTGTTATTTGCAGATGACATATAGAAAACTTCAAGATAATCTACAGACCTTTAGAAATAACTGCTGGACACAAGATTGAGGCCAAGCTCACTATATTACTACATACTAACGTTAACACGAATGACAGTATAGAGACATTGGTAACTCCTGGGGTATGAGAAGGGAGTCCTTGTTGCTGTGTACTTGATCAAGCCATTACAATTTCATAGTGAGCATGTCTATTTTAAAGTGTTTAAAAGATGTCTACAGAAAATGTAACAGACTGTGCCAGTTCTTAGAGAATATCGAAGGACTGCAGAAGGTCTACTCAATGGATAGGTATACTGTGTTAATGGATCTAGAACTCAAAAGGCATGCGCATTTCACTTGTCACAATTTATAAATTCAATATATTTTCCAACAAACTCCAATGGAGTTTATTTTCATTTCCTTTTTTAATCGTTTTATTAGGGGCTCATACAACTCATCACCATACATACATCAATTGTGTAAAGCACATACATTCATTGCCCTCATCATTCTCAAAACATTTGCTCTCCACAAACCCCCGACGTTAGGTCCTCATTTTCCCCCTCCCTCCCCTCTACCCCCCTCCCTCATGAACCCTTAATAATTTAATAAATTATTATTTTGTCATATCTTGCCCTGTCCAACGTCTCCCTTCACCCACTTTTCTGTTGTCTGTTCCCCAGGGAGGAGGTCACATGTAGATCCTTGTAGCCAGGGCATGTTGAAGGTGGCCTTTGGGGTCAGGGTGTGGTACCCCAACAGACTGGACTGGAAAACACTCCTAAAGGCCAACAAACAGTCCTTGAACTACAAGCTTTT